GGGTTATCTTAAGAATAATATACCCAAACTGTCTTTAGAAAATCCAAGTATAATTTTAAAAAAATCATTAGAAAAATAATATTTTCCTACGATATGTATTCCTTTAACACTTATATTTTTGCAAATTTTATGCATGCTAAATATGGATTCTCCCATAATTCATTGCCAGTTGTGATTTTTATCCTACGAGTTATGTTTTTTTTTCTTTTTATCACTGAGCCTTGACGAGGGGATTAAACTCAAGTAACTCGCAGATAAAAATTATACACAACCACAAATCATTTGAAATTCTTTTAATTACATGTTCTAAACATAAATATCAATGTTTTACAGATTTTTTTAATAAAATGAATTCACATTATTTTACTTCATCACTTTAATGCAAAAATGATTTAATTTCAAAACACTTTCTAAAAAAGGATATCCAGTGAGAAATATCAACGGGATTACATGGTAAACATGTGATAAGCAAATAATAGAATTGCATGCAATAATTCCTGTAAATAAATAAGTAAAAAAAACATTCTTGACATCATGCCTCAAGAACTTGATCTTTAACCTCATGTTTTGTTTTGTTTTTTTTTTTTTTTTTTTTGTTATCTTGGATTTAAAATTGTTAAACTAATATAAATCGACAGAGACAAGATGGTTAAGAATAATGTGAAATGTTTCGACTCAAACTCTAATTCTGAACTTTTTACATTTTTGAAATAGAGAATGTTTTTCTGAAAAACATACTCAGGAATAACTAGGTCTTAGTCACTAACGTACTTATCCGAATGTGAAAAGTAACCCTACACTCATTGTGCAATATACACCATGAGGTATCGCAATTTTATCTTTTTTTTCCATCTGAATAAACAATATCCTACCAGGAGAGGGAAATAATTATAATCATGATAATTGATAAATTCGTGTATTACAAAGATTCCTTTTATAAATTTACAGAAGTTTTGATTATGAAAGCAGATTTGTTATAATAAACATGTATACATGTACAATATTGGTCGTATAATCAAGGACATTATATATATATTTTTTTTTTTTTTTTCGCGCGAATTTGACATTGAAATTTAAATACTAGAACAATTTACCTAAATTACAATAGAATGACGAGAGTGCATACTTTTTTTTAAAATAAAACCAAGAATTACAAAATATATACTTGAGAGAATGTATCTTCTGACCTTAAGCCCAAAGTCTGATCAAAAATACAGATCGTCAGGGAGCAGAGTAAATATTGACCTCCAAAACATCAGAAGTTGGATCAAGTGCAATGGAGGAGTGAACATCCCTTGCTCATTGTTTTAATAGGGGGAATGGGAAAATCTTAAATTTTCTTAATGATATATCGTATGTGCTTAATGGACTACAAACGAGACTGTTGATATTCATTCAATGGCACCTGATCCCACCTCTGATGTTTCGGAGGTCCGTGTTTGCTCTGCTCTGATTTTGTATATTGTTTAATGGACTTTGAGATTAAATGCTGTTCGATATCTCCATATCCTTCTTCCATTAAGTGTATTTTTATAACTTACCTCGTTTAAGAAATTTCTCATACTTGTGTATAGACGCTTGATAATTGAATCACATTAAAGATAAAGACCTAAAAACATTTACTGTGCTCATCCTTTGGATGCGATTGAAAAAAGAGGCGGTCCTGCTTGGAATTGCTGCTCCGTACGTGCTGGTTATCCTGGATAGCCGTGGTGAGTATTCGGCTTCCTGCGACTGAAAAAAGAACATAAAGACTGAGGCAGGACATTGTCCAACTCGTTCTATTCTCACCAATGTTTGGGCATATAAAATATATACAGAATAGTCATTCTTACCCTTGTGACTTAAATTTAAACCTTGCATTCATTTGTCATGTTCAACCAATAAATATGTATTATTTTCAGTTCAGTTGAAAATAAATTACAAGAAATTACAATAAAAGACAATAGTAATATGTATCCTTAAAGAGACCTGGGCAGGGATATGAAGTTTAAAGATTCTCGTATTTTCTCTATAATATATTGTTTTATTTCTTGCTATAGCATCTCACGAGTAAATATAATAACAGACTAATTTTACCTGCATATTATTGAAACTATGAATTTTAGGTAAGCGTTTGATTGGCATATCCTTGTAACAAAGTGAATTTTATTCTTTATACGTAAGGAAAGAAACAATTAAGTTGAGTATTTATTGATAAACGGTATTGAAGCTTTCTTCAAGAAAATTCACCGTACACGGCAGCGCGTTCGCTTCATGATCGAGAGGCTCGTGTTCGGTTTTCGTTCACGGCACTGCGTCTTACCTAAGACGTACATGTAAATGTAAACATAGGTATTGGCTTTTTCTTCGCCAAGCGCTTGGCACTAGAAATGACCAAAAACATAAGTCACATGTTACGTAAGGCGTTGGTCCGATAAAGAATTCTCACTGCTCAATGGCCCAGAGTGCCGTGTATATGTCTAAATTTGAAGCCCTTCAATTGCATATTGTGACCTCTTCATATCAGTTGAAAATCCTCGAGAGGGACGTTAAACAAAATACAATCAATCAGTCAAGAAAATTAGAAATAAATGAAAACCAGCTCATCAGTTTTTCCAGTCCGGGCTCAATGATTTGTGTAGAGTTTCACAAATTGAGCACCCGGGGAAATGTAAATCAGTGCTTGTGCCCACTTTAGAAAAAAAAGTGTCCCAGCAATATAATTCCTATACTTCCAACTAAGACAAAATGTTGTTTTACAAACTGTTTTATTACTAACTTGTACAGAACCTGAGGTAATCTCTGAGCTCGGTTTCCGTTTAGTTGTCTATTATGTTGCGTGCCCTGTACTGGAGTTGGTTATAAGCTGTGTTCGTTAATGCGAACACTGTCATGGTGGTCGGCAATTCGTAAAACCTCGTAAGATGTGCTCTGGTAACTAGCTGCGCAAACTAAAAATGAAGTGATCTTATCGTAAACAATATGTATGATTTTCTTTTGAATATACCCTATGATAAATACGTGTATTTTAAGAGAGGAATTTGATTTTGAATAAAATATATATAGTCGTATTTGAGTATCTTATGCCAAGAATCAAACTATTTATACATCACAAGCGCCAAGCCAGACTGTTTGTAACAGAAGCCCCCTGTCTTTAAATGATTGCACAATTTGGCATTCATAATTAAACTGAGTGCCTTTTCATTTAGATTTCAATTGCAATTACCTTTAATTGACAATGATTTAATAATAATTAACTACATGATTCAAAATTTTTACCATTTGTTCGTGAACAAAGTAATGGAACATTTCTTTTAATTCTCTTTTTTTTGTTTAAGCAATATTTTCATGCAAAGTTTAAACAGGGAAAATATTTCTTGTTTAAAATATTAAAATGATAAATTTTGACAAGATAGACGAAATATTTCCCAGGGATTTAAATGAGCAATTTTACCTTTGAAAATTCTGTTGTTCGCTGTAGAATTTGTAGAATATTTCCTTGTCCTTGTACATAATTAACTACAAGACACAGTGAAATTAACAGTACAACTATCGCTTCTCGGGGATCCATGCCTTTACATATGAAACTGTAATTTATAATGCGCAATTATATATATATCTTTATATATGTTAACCAAGGTTAAAGTTTTTTTTATATATGTTAACGATAGACATAAAATGAAGTATATGAAATTTATTTTGCATATACATATGTAGTTTAATATACGTCAATAATGAAACAGATTGTTTAAAATCATCAATACGCAGTAATGCAAGATTGATAACATTTTATCAGCATAACATTTTTTAAAAGGGTTGAAATTTCGGAAAACAATACATTTGTTACAATCTAAAATTGTGTAAATCCTGTTTGAACCGCAGTTTAATATTTCATTGAGTAATTCTACTCATATATTACTCATAAAATTCTGTTTTAATATCAGAATTGTACGCAGTGTATTGTTTGACTGATAGTACCTATGATGCATTTTTTACATACTGGATGATACTTTTTTTTTTTAAAGATATGCTGATATTAAAAATATCATACTCAAATGAATTATGCTGCTTAATAATTTACCAAGGGTAAATATTTGCTTTATAGTAAAAAAAAATCCAAAACATATGTTCAGATTTCAAATAATGGGAAATTATTTTCAGCCGTTATAATATATGTCTTGCAAGGTATTATGATGCAGGCTTGAAAAGTGAAATAATATATTTAACAATATATATAGAAACAGAACTTATTGGGATTTTCCATAGACGTTTATTCAACAATTTCTTTCTCTTAAAACTAATGACTTGATTTTAATTTTTTTTTTAGGTATTTGTTTTGCAATTATCAAAATAACAAAGATCCAAAATGTGAAAAAATAATTAAGGAATATTTTTTTAGTTTTGTTTGAGTTGTTGGTGTGTGAAGCACACATACTTGTCATAAGGAAGCCATATTTCATGAAACGCGCTATCTCTTCATAATAAAAATGCCTACGACCAAGTCTATGTGATTCACACATCAATAATTCACACTTACCCTAAAAACATTACCAATATTTTATTTAACATGTTTGATAGCATCTAAAATATACTCATTTTAATTTATTTTGTTACATACTAACTCTATGTAGCCTCATTGGGATGCCACGTTAGCGCACGTTTCTCTGTCTATATTTTTACTTGTGAATAAACACAAAATTGATATTAAAATGATTCAAACATTTTGCTTACTAGAAAAACACAGTTAAGGTAAATATTACGCATTAAAATAGTATGAATATTTTGATGAATAGTACCATCAGAGTTATATAACATGGCTGACATCTCACAAAAATTACATCTATTCAGAACGTGTGCTGAAGTTAAACAGAAAACAAAAGGTATTCCTAATATAATGATATGCTAGTATTATATTGTCCATCTGCTGTTTTGTATGTAATTTTAACAATCTTTCTATCAAAACATCCCAAATACGCTTATATTCTAAAATGATAGAAAGTTTATTTCAACAGTTATAATATACTAAAAGAAGGCATTTTGAAACAGTCTGTATTGAGACTGTTTTGAATACAATAACTTAAAAAGTCAAAAGATATTCCTTTCTTAAATTAATTATTTTCGATTATAGCTACACAATTCTCCCCCGCTTTCGCAAAAGCGAGGAGACAAAAATCTCATTCGCCCGTCCTTCTGTCCGTCTGTCCTTCAGTCTGTCAATCTGTCCGTCACAAAAACTTTAACCTTGCCCATACATTTTGATTTAGTGGAGCTATGACTTTTTTAATTCACATATGTATTTCTTGTTACAAGACTTAACCTTGGGTACCACCAAATTTGTCCTTTTAGTTTGACCCACTTTTACACAAAAAATCGAAACTTTTACTTTTGCCATAACTTTTGAATGGTAGGTACTAGGGCTTTGATTTTTCACATATGTATTTTTGTGAAAAGACTTTTCATTGGATACCAACAGACTTGACCTTTTGACCTTTATCTCGGAGATTTACGTACTTATGAAGAAAACTTTAACCTTGATCATAACTTTTGAACAATGAGAGCTAGTGCTTTTGTACTTCACATATATAATCCTTGTGAAAAGACCTTTTATTTGATACCAAGAACTTTTACCCTTTGACCTTGAGCTTAGAGTTTTAACAACTTTTTTTTCTTACAATTTTAACCTTGGTCACAGCTTTAAAACTGTAGATACTATAATTTGTATATATCATGTATGTATTCTTCATAGCAAGACCTTTCATAGGATACAACTTTGACCTTTTGATATTGAGATTTGAGATTTACGTATTTGTGATAAAAATCAACCTTGACCATAACTTTTGAATGGTGAGACTAGGGCTTTCGTACTTCACATATGGAATCCTTGTGAAAAGACCTTCCATTGGATACCAAGGATTTTTAACCTTGACTTTGGACTTTTAACTACATTTTAAAAACTTTAACGTTGGTCACAACTTTGGAACGGTAGATACTATGACTTTCATATTTCACATAAGTATTCTTTGAGGTATGACTTTTCATTGGATACCAACATCTTTGAACTTTCGACCTTAACTTTGGAGATTTACGTACGTATGAAAAAACTTTAACCTTGGTCATAACTTTTGAATGGTAAGGGCTAGGGTTTTCAAACTTCACATATGTAATCCTTGTGAAAAGAACTTACATTGGATATCAATAATTTTGACCCTTTGATCTTGACCTTGGATTTGATCTACTTTTAAAAAACTTTAACTTTGGCCATAACTTTTTAACAGTTGGGATTAGGGTTTTCATCCTTCACATATGTATTACTAGTGACAAAACCTTTCTGAAGAAACCAACAATTCAGACCTTTTCACGTTGGAGTTTAACCTTACTTTCAAAAATTTATCCTCGACTATAACTTTTGAACAGGTGGTGCTAGGGATTATGTATTTCACAATCATATTTCTTGCAAATGAGAAAAATCCTACTTTGGGTAATAATATATTTATTTTGCATTAAAAACAATTTTAATCTTCGTTATGTTGCCATTCGGGGTCATCAGTGTTTCACAAACACATCTTGTTCCTTATATTGAGAACAGATAGGGCTTTCATATATGACATGTGCATTACCTGTGACAAGATAATTCGGAGCATGCTATGATTTCTTACACCTTCATTTTTACCTTCACGAGTGACCTTGTTTTTTTTTTTTAAAAGATCAACTTCAATGATTAATTTCTAAATGAATGACATATGATAGGGTGTTCATATTAAACACATTATGTCATAAAATATCCACAAAGACTACAAAAGCGAGGAACCACAATTCTTTGAATTTGCTTGTTTTAACCTAAATTGCAAAACAATTTTTAACAAATATACTAAAATGTCCTAAAATAAGACAAGCTACTTCAGCCACTTTGAAGAAGGGGAGGGGTTTCTTCTGATATCTGCTGTACGTACAACTTACTAAATTGTATTGCAACATATATTAAATGTTAACGTCATACATCATAAAAATAATGTGTTTACAATTTCCGAGCTTTATAACGTGGTACAAGTTTCTCCAAAATTTAGCGTAAATAATATTACGACTAAATATTTAGATAAGAAAAAAAAAATTATTTTAAGAGATTTTAGCAAGTATAAATATAAGAAATTTGGCAATAAATTGAAGATTAGATTACCTTTTTAACATGCGTGAAAATGCGTAATTGCGGGGAAACGGTATTTGCGTGACTTTGCGTTAGAAATTGGAAAATGGTATATGCCATTAAATGCTTGACTACGGGGAAGGGAGATAAACATACCTAAGGTTCCCGTGGCGGGTTTTTCTAGGAGGATTCTGTACTTTCCTGCTTCATTGGAAACAGTGACTTTTTCATACAACTCATGGAACGTTGAACCATTCTCTACTGTTATGGAAACATATAGGAAGCAGTCCTTTGCTTTTGTTAACTGATGAATTACGTCATTTCCTTTAAAAGATAAATTGTAGATAAATTGTAGATAAATTTAAGATAAATTTTAG